AAAAGGCACAGCGCGAGTCGGGCTAGGGCAGAGCGCGCTCCGGGCAAGGACGGAATAGTAGGTGGGCCCTAGGAACAGTTCCCACTAGGGAACCTGCTCGATACCATGTTGAGATAGAGGCGAGGAATGAGTGCACTATGAAATGAAACAAGTACAAGTACCAACCCTAATTGGGTTGTCCCCCCTATGGGCTACCCCACTACAGCCTAAATATATGCATCAGTAATATAATCATCTGACAAGGCGCGGGTGTCCGGGTGAGCGTCGATACGCGTCTGAGTTGGAGTAAAAGCTGACAACGAAGTTTGCGCTTCTGTGGACTTCTCGTTGAGTTGGTTTCAACTGCTGTGCGGGTGTTGGTGGTGTTTCGTTGACAAGGAGTGGTGTCGTTGGTCCTGCTGCTGCTGCCGATGTTGTCTCTGCTGCTGCCGATGATGTTTTCTGCTGCTGCCGATGACGTTTCTACTGCTGCCGATGTTGTTTCTGCTGCTGCCGAATGTTGAATTGTTGCTAACGCGCGTGTTCTTTCTGCTTCAGGAATGGTGTGCGAGTACCAGAAGCCTTCCGGACTGAAGTCCGGATCAAGATCCGGAGGATGTGTCCAGTCGGCGAAGTTCACGATGGCGTCGCTGTCTGTAGTGCCCAGGTCTAGGACGAAGTCTAGGACGAAGACGTTGTTCTTCAAGACCGCCTTCCGATGTAGAGGCCGCCTTTCCCGTGGTATAATTTGAACTCCTGGGTGGTACTGTTGGCTTCCAAGTGAATGCCTTTCGCCATCAACTGGCTGACGCTCAGTAAGTTGTAGCCGAGTCCCTCCGCGATTAGTACCTTTGACATATGCAGTATAACATTTGTCTCTCGTGACTGAAGTTTGTACTACTCCTTGTCGTCGTGTGCCCAGGTTCTGGTTGTTGGCGACTGTGATGACGACTCTCGTTGAAGTCGATGTTCGCGTTGGACGAAGCGTCCCGAAGAGCACATGTGCTGTCCGCAGCAACTGTCCAAGAACCATGTATCTTTCCCGGACGGTTCGCTTTGAGCAATGGCGGTGTACGTCGGGTTTGGTTGAAGGGACTCGCGGCGAGGCGTGCTGTTGTCGAGTTGCTCTTCTGGTGAGTAGTATGGTGGTGACTCGGTTGTGCAGGAATCTGTTATCTTTACCATGCAGTTGACGATGTTTCTTGCTTTTTGTGCAGGTTGTCCTGTTGGAGTCGTTGAAGCTTAGACTGAAGGTGTCGGGGTAGCTTGTGTTGAAGTGACTTGGCTGCTCGAAGGTCGAAGTTGTCGCTGTGGTGTTGTCGATTGATGACAATACGGGCAGTGCGTACGAGGATGCCCTGAAGTCTTGCAGATGTGGCAAAACGGAGGTAGTGGCTTCAGTTGTTGTTATTGTTGTTGTAGCATCGCTGGGTATGAAATGCGAACTCTGGTACTGACGTTTTCTTCTTATGTCGTTCTTCTTGCAGGTCCATGTCCTGCTGCTCGGCATGGATTTCGGCGCAGAGTGCTGCTTCGGAGATTCTCCCGTGTGCTCGTAGTATGGCGCGAGTGGAGCGCCAGTGAGGGCCGAGACCGCCAATGACAACCGTGACAAAGGCGTCTTCTGAGATCGATCCCCCACATCGAAGAAGCCTGTCGCACAGTTCGCCTGGCAGCGACTGATATACTCCATGCCCTTCTCGCCTGGTTTCATTTCTATTGTTGTCAGCTGCGCCATTAACCGACTTTGGTTTACACTGTCTGTTGCTTGATACAGGTTCTTCAAGTGGTTGTACGCGAGCTCCGCGGAGTTACCGTAACCTCGGTAAGTCCTTATGTTCTGCTGTTGGGTCGGGGTGATGTTCCTCAGTAGTATTGTGTACGCCATCATCGATTGATAGGTGTACTACTGCTTCTCATACTGTGTGCCGTTTGTTGGATATGGCAGGGACCCGTCGAAGAAGCCAAGGATCTGCGCTCCTTCCATCATCAGCTCGAATTCGAACGACCAGGTAAGAAGTCCTTTCCGTCAAAAGGCTTTGTCGTCTGTAGTTTTAGAACATGTGCGAATTGCGATGGAACTTGTAATGCGTCCAGCGCTTTCTCTTGTCCCGGTGCAGGTTGTGGTTGCGGCATGAAGCTGACAGAGCCGCGTTGGGGCTCGTACGGAGCGAAGGTAGGTTGTTGATGTTGATTCCCGCGTGCGGTAGGATGAGCCATCGAGACTCATGGGTGTCACGTTGTTGTTGTTGTTGTTGCTGTTGTTTGATTGCGCAGGTACTCCTTGCTGGTGCTGCTCGTAGAAGGACATGAAGGAGAAGAATTTCTCCATCATGCTTGGATCAAAGCCCGCGCCTTGGTTTGCGGGTGTTTTCGTAGACCCAGCTGCTGGTCTCGTCGTTGTCCCTTCCTCTGTCTGTAGACCAGAGGCAGGAGGTGGAGTAGGGGTAGTACCGGGAGAGCCGTTGGAGGAGCTCCTCTCCTTTCTAGCAGACATGTCTTCTTGATGTATTGAGTGTTGAAAAATAGTAACTTTTAACTCTAACCGCTCTCATACCATGTTGGGCTGAAAAGCCCTAGGATCTTTGTAGAGTTAAAGTCTGAGTAAGTGATGTAATAGCGGAAGCGTTGAATAAAGTCCTTGAACCACCTTGCGCTAGTATGTGAGGGCAAAGTAAGTTAATTAAAGCAAAGAGATACAGGAATAAATATATGAGTACAAAGAATATGAAGAGACATTATGACTACTTTACTGTTGCGGTTCGATATAGTGCGACTCGCGCAACTGCTCAATGTCGAGTCAGTTGTGTGTCCTTGCTGTCGCGCTGCGTCAGGTCAAAGGTTGCTGACCTTTGACTTTCTCGTAACCTCCAGCGGTTACGTTAACTTCCGAGGGTTGACTCGCGATGCTTCGATTTGAGCTGCTTCGCTTGTGTCTTGAGTTCTGACACGACAGAGGTGTGAAAATAGGTAGGTAACGATAGTAGCCATAGCTAGGACTTACCTAGCTAGGCAAGGAGAAGTTAGGCAAAGAGAGGGTTGTACTAGCAAGCAATGAGATACAAATATGAAACCCTAAGGGGTTATACTCGCTATAGAGTACCCCACTGCAGGCTAGATAACAAATATGACATTCTGACAAGAGGCGCTTAAACTATTTGTTCCCAACAACACAACGGTGCGCGATCGTCTATGACGATTTGTGGCGATGGGGCCTCGTCGACGACCATTTCCCGCAGCAACGCACGGTACATTTCACTTTGTTTGGGCTCTCCGGTTCCAACGAAGCAAATCTCTGTGTCCTCATCGCCTGAGTCAGACTGTGTTACAAGTATAAGACGTCGAGCTCATTGCGGTTAATATGAACGTTCTAACCGTAGGACCTCCCAGATGAACCTCCTTTAAGGACCTAACTGGTCTAATCAAGGGCTAAGGTAGATGTGAACCCTAAAACGACGAGAGGAAATGGTGTGAGCAATCTGTAGCATATGGATCAAATGATAAAGCGCGGGAAGTTGAAAAGGGCATACCAAACCAGTTTGAGCGCGTTCATTCGAACCTTTTGTGCGAGACTATTTAGTATATGATTGGCGAGATCATATAGTAAATTGTGTTTAATGAACGCGTTCAAATATGATCGGCAATCCGTAAATCTTGCGCCTGATTAGACGCGCAAGTGGCAACAAATGCACCACTCAATCTCCTGACCAATCGAGCGCGGTCGTTTTGCTGTTTCGGTTCGTTTCGGGCGAAGTCATATGCTCGATCGCTGATTGGATGTTAACTAGAGGGACCGCACGCTCATTGGTCGTGCAGTTGGCCGAAATTGACCGGTCAATGTACTGTTGGTCGGTTTCTTGTACAGTGGGCGGGCCACTTTCGCGTCCGTGAGCCTGGCGAAATTTTAAGTTGTGGAACAGAACGGAACACTACCTAGGGATACCACTCGCACGAATAAGGAATTTCGGGGCTACAAATCCCCGTAGGGTAATTCGCCGGTGAAAAAAAAGCGAGCAGGAATCCCCTGGCGTGGCCACTCGAGTAATTATCACCCAATTTCGTGGCCACTCGAGTAAATCGAGGCCCCCCGAGAGAGGACGAATCACCCGATTGGCCACTGGAGAAATTCTCTCGATTCGGTTGGCTTCGGTGGGAGGAAGGAAACACAGCAACCGACACTACACATTTGACTGGACTGCACGCGCTTCTTCGTCGCAATCGAGTTACTCTCGCAAAAACCGTTCGGTTTACTTCGTTGCAATGTTTGATGCTCCCAACCCAGCCAGAGCTTTTTCTCCCATTTTCTCGTCTCTCTCCAGTTCACGACTGGTCTGGCCGCTGAATTCCCCTAGGTACGCTCGTCGGTGACAACGTTGCTAGCTATTGCGGCTGTTGTTGCTCCTTCTGTCGCCTAGCTTGCCGGTTCCCACCGCGTTGTTCGCTGAAACATGTGGACCGGGAGAGCTCTCGCGTGTGTAGTGCGCGGATGAGGATGAGAATCAGCCAGGCTCGTCGCACCGAGTGCCACGCATCGCGATCCTTGCGAGCGAGTTTCTCGAGCATTTTTTCATGAGAAACTAAATTGAAATTCATCTCTCCTTCAATTCAGAGTTTCGTTTTGCTGATCGAGCTACCTTCAGTCGCGTCTCGCGCTGTTTCTGAATTAAGCTCTTGGCTGCGTAGGAGGGATTGACGTGTCACCGCATTATTTTATCGACACCACCACTGCTTGTTATCGTTAGCCAGACAGATCAGTGATCTGAGCCGACCGTCGCTACGAGCCAAGTTCCATTAGTCTCCAATACTTCGTTGCAGAGCGGCTCATTATTATCGTTAGGGATTATCGCAGCATTATCATTGCATTCTGACGCTTAACTCCATTCGCGGGCTTCGGCTCCCCTTTTTCTTTGTTTACAACGTAACCGTGACTGTGTGAGCTGCAAAAAGTGACTACAGCGAGTCCTCAACTGTGACTGTGTAGCCCGCGTGACATAAACGAGAGCGTCAGCGTCAGCAGCGTCATGTCGTCGTCCGCCGAAGCGCCGTGCGAGGCGGCGCCGTGGGTGGTGGGAGTGACGGCGCGCGCGCCGAGCAACATCGCGGTGATTAAGTACTGGGGAAAGCGCGACGAGGCGCTTGTGCTGCCGCTTAATGGCAGCGTGAGCGTGACGCTCCACGTGGACCAGCTAGCCGCCGAAACCACCGTCGCCGTCAGCCCGTCGTTCAATGCGGACCGGCTCTGGCTCAACGGCAAGGTGCGTTCCGTGCAGGTCGTACCTGTTCATGGCAAGGTGCGTTCCGTGCAGGTCGTACCTGTTCATGGCAAGGTGCGTTCCCGGTACAGGTCGTACCTGTTCCATGGCAAGGTGCGTTCCCGTACAGGTCGTACCTGGTAGGCTGATGCTGTAGCATACCTGATAACGCAACTGGCAATGTGGCTGGTGTGGTACCACCTGATGTGGCTGGTGTGATAACCACCTGATGTGGCTAGTGTGATAACCACCGGGGTGCGAACCCTGAACCCGATAATCCATCTGAACGTTGCAGCACACTGACAACATGCCACAACACGCGCTCCAATGCAGCATCCTTTGCACTGAATTGCATTCCTGTGCAATATGCATTGCATTGAGTCTGGCCGGTTCCAGGTGGCTGTTGAGTCGACCAAAAACTCAACAATACCCCACACTCCCCCATACCCACTCGCCCCGGCATCAGGAGGTGGCGATGAGCAGCCACCGCTACGGCAACTGCTTCTGAGTCGACCCAGAACAAGGTGACAGACTGTTTGTCGACTCAAGACTCAACAGTTTCCCACTCACTCCCCCATACCCACTCGCCACGGCATCAGGAGGTGGCGATGAGCAGCCACCGCTACAGCAACTGCCTGGCTGCCCTGCGTGCACGCGCCTCCTCCACGCACTGGCGCCTGCCCGCTCCAGGGACCACACAGCAGGGCGGGCAGGGAGGGGGCGAGCAGGAGGAGGTGGAGATAGGAGCGGGGCAGTGGCAGCAGCTGCGGGTGCACGTGGTGTCGGCTAACAACTTCCCCACCGCTGCTGGCCTCGCCTCCTCTGCTGCTGGCTTTGCATGCCTCGGTGAGTCTCTTGTTTCTTCCTCCCTTCCTCCCTTCCTTCCCCCCTTCTAAACTCCTCCTGATGTCGCCAATGCTGCTGCTGGGTGGGACAAAGTTGATGGAGTAGGGTTTGGGGTCGGGGTTCGGGGTTTTAGTTGGGAGTTTGGGATACGTACAGGGACTGGAGCGCCACTTATCAGTGAGGGAAGACAGGATGTGGTTGCAGTTTCGATTGTTCGCAAAAGGTTGGATGTTGGAACTTTTAAACTTCGAAACCTGTTTGAGGGTTGGGGTTTGGGGAGGAGGGTTTGGGATCGGGAGATTGGGATGCTGGGATTGAGTTGGGAAGTTGGCGTTTGAACTTTGAAGAGTGGGATTTGAGACGCGGCGAGGGATTCGAGAGTGAAGTGGAGATTGGGGAGCGAGGTTTGGCAAGAGGAGATTCGGCTTGCATGTATGCATGCTGTGTCCAATTCTCTGGATGCGCCCCACCCCACTTGCAAAAGTATTGCTCCGTGATCACCCCCGTCCTGCCATGCCATGCTGTCCTCCTTTGCTCCGCCCTCACATCCCTTGTGCCTGCCCCATGCTCCATGCCCTGTGCGGCTGTGCCCCATGTGCCATCCTGCATGCCTGTGTGTGCGTGCATGCATGCATGCGTCACAGTGTTCGCCCTGGCAGAGCTCATGGGAGTGAAGGAGGCATACCCGGGGGAGCTCTCAGCCATCGCCAGGTACGGCAGATGAGTTGCCAGGTACGGCAGATGAGTTGCCAGGTACGGCAGATGAGTTGCCAGGTACGGCAGGAGCCATGGCAGGTACGGCAGGAGCCATGGCAGGTACGGCAGGAGCATTGACGGGCTGACAGGAGAAGCATTGGCACGCAGTTTTAATCATAGGCCTCGTTAGAGTGCCGCTTGGTGGAAAGGAGGCCTCGTTACAGCAAATGCTGCTCGTGTGTTTTAAGCACCTTGCAAACAAATCTGCTCATGGGGGATCGCAGCCCACGTGTGCCTAAACTGGGTTTCTCATGCATTGCACAAATTGTGTGATTGGCCCATACCTTATGTAAACGCCATTGCTCCCACCTTCCCATTCCTCCCGTCCCCCTCCCCGTCCTCCTCCTCCGAATGCCACCAGGATGGGATCTGGCAGCGCGTGCAGGAGCCTGTACGGCGGATTTGTCACGTGGGACAAGGCGAGGTAAGACAATCATGGGAGATGGGATGATGAGGGCGAGGTGAGGTGAAGCTGTCTCTGGGTGAAAGCGTGCCGGGTTTGCTTGACCTCACCACACCACGTACTCCGCCTCCTTACGCTGCTCCCCCTAATCTTTCTCATTCCATCCCCTGCCTCCCTCTCCCTCGTTTCCTCCATTCCCGTTTCACACGTATCGCCACCTGCAGCCATGGCCGCTCCCAAACCAGAGTTGGCTCATAGTGGTGAAATAGTTCACAATATCTTGCACTGTGTTGGATTAAGTTTGAGGATCTGGCATTGTGTTCAGTCATTTGAAAACCAGGCTCACTTTTGCGAGTTCTCAGAAGTGCAAAACGTGTAGAATACCTGGCAATCAGCATCTCTTTCGATTCCATTGTGCCTCATGCCGCATGCCTCATGCCGCATGCCTCATGCCGCATGCCTCATGCCTCATGCCTCATGCCTCATGCCTCATGCCTCGTGTGTGTGCGTCTCCTCTCCTCTCCCACCGCCAGATAGAAGACGGGAGCGACAGCATGGCGCGGCAAGTCAAGGCAGAGGACCACTGGAGCGACCTGGTCATCATCATTGCAGTGGTGAGTGGGAGGGCACACACTAGGGGGAGGGGGGAAGGGGTGTGACGGGGAGGGCATGTCTGTCTGTTGTGAGTCGACTTGAAAATTTAGCGAGCTCGAAAACGTGCTCGGAGTCGCCTCGAAAAGTCGACTCAAAAAAGTTCTCGGAGGCGGAGAGGCGGAAAATGTAGCGAGTTGACTCGAAAAAGTGCTCGAAGTCGCCTCTAAAAGGCGGAGAGTGCTCTCAAGGCACAGGACCATAGACCACTGGAGCGATCTGGTCACTGTTATTGGTGTGGTGAGAGGGAGGGAGAGTGTGCGCCACTGTGCAGGTGAAAATGGTGGTGGAATGGTAGGGCCGATGTGCTCTACGGTCCTCTCCTGCGCTTTGCTTTCCACGTTGTTGTACTTTGATGCTCTGCCTCTGCGCTCAGCTGTTGCCCTGACCTTCCCCCTCCCCCTTTTCCCCTTCCCCTCCTCCTGTTCCCACATGCACAGGTGGAGGAGAGGGAACATTGGCAGCAGCAGCGAGGGCATGAAACGGTCTGCCCAGACCTCCAAGCTGCTGCAGTTGAGGGGTCAACTGGCAGCCCCTTTTTCCCGCACCCCCCTCCTCCCCTCCTGTACCCCCCTCTCCCCCCTCCTCTCCTGCATCTCCCCACATGCACAGGTGGAGGAGAGGGAGAAGGACATTGGCAGCAGCGAGGGCATGAAACGGTCCGCCCAGACCTCCAAGCTGCTGCAGCTGCGCGCTGAGGTGAGGGGCAAATGAAGAGCACGGGTGGGTGGGAGCAGTTGACGAGCAAGGGTGGGGCAAACGAAGAACTTGGTTGGGGTGGGGAGGGCATATAACGGTCCGCCCAGACCTCCAAGCTGCTGCAGCCACGGGCGGATGGTGGGGGTAAACTGAAGGCCACGGGTGGGGGTCGGATGAAAGCAGAAACCCATGGGGGGCCCCCGCGTGACGGGCGCACGTGTTTGGTCCGAGTGCTGCTGAGTGCACAGCAATGCAGGCAGCCATTGCAGCCTGGGATTTTGCAGCATTTGCCCGCCTGCCCTGCGTGGAAAGCAACCAGTTTCACGGCCTGGCCTTGCCTTCATTCGTACTTTCATTCATTAAGGAAATGCAGGCAGCCATAGCACCCTGCAACTTCTGGCCTTTGCCCCCTTGACGTGCCTTTGCCCCCTTGACGTGCCTCCCCCCTTGACGTGCCTCCCTGCCCCTTCTTTCCCCACCCCACTTGCCCCTCACCCAGCATGTGGTACCAGAGCGAATCACAGCAATGGAGGCAGCCATAGCTGCTCGCGACTTCCCTCATTTGCCCGCCTGACCTGTGCCAACAGCAACCAATTCCATGCCACGCCTTCATTCTTCCAGCCTCCTTCCCCTTGCCCTTCCCTCTCTCCCTTTCCCTCCCTCCTACAGCATGTGGTACCAGAGCGAATCACAGCAATGGAGGCAGCCATAGCAGCGCGCGACTTCCCCTCATTTGCACGGCTGACCTGTGCGGACAGCAACCAGTTCCACGCCACGTGCCTCGACACGGCGCCGCCCATCTTCTACCTCAATGCCACGTCGCGCCGCGTGATTGGCTTCGTGGAGGAGTTTAATGCTCAGGGGGAGCAGCCAAGGGTGCGTGCAGAGGGGTGCAGGGGGTGGAGGGTGATGAAGGGTGGGTGCAGGGGGGTGGGGGGTGATGGAGGTTGGGTGCAGGGGGGTGGAGGGTGATGGAGGGTGGGTGCAGGGGGGTGCAACGCCGGGCTGTGTGATTGGCTTCGTGGAGGAGTTCAACGCACAGGGAGAGCAGCCGAGGGTGCGTGCAAGGGTGTGCAGGAGGGTGCAGGGGGGATGTAAGGGTAAGGGTGAATGAGGTGAGAACCTGAATTTGTGCACTTGCAATCCTCTATCTCAACTCCATGTCGCACCGTGTGATCGGCTTCAACGGAGGAGTGCAATGCTGGGGAGCAGCCCAGGGTGCGTGCACAGGGGGGATGCAGACGGGTGCAGAGGGGTGAATGGGTACTGTGCGAAGGGTAAGAGTGAGCGCAGTGGATGAGTGTCGCGACTGGCAACGCCATGTCTCGCCGCGTGATTGGCTTCGTGGAGGAGTGCAACGCACGGGCAGAGCAGCCAAGGGTGCACAGGGGGGGATGGAGGGGGGTCAATTGGTACGGTGCGAGGGGGTCGAGGGGTAAGGGTGAGCGGGTGGGTGAGTGCTGGCAACATGTGAGTGTGGCGAAGATGCAAGCGTGAGTGGGTGAGTGGGTGATTGCATGCACGCATTTGCCACCTTCCATCTCAGCACCACGTTGCGTCGTGTGATTGGCTTCGTGGAGGACTTCAATGCTCAGGCAGAGCAGCAGGGGGTGCAGGGGGAACAGTGAAGTGGCGACGGTGGAGAGGGGATGCAGGGGGTTGAAGAGGGGTTGCAGGGGGTTGAAGAGGGGTTGCAGGTGGGTGGAGAAGGGGTGCAGGGGGCTTGAGGATGGGCGTTGTGAAGGGAATCAGCAGAGTGAAGGGGGGCAAGTGCTGCTCACTTGTTCTGCCAAGTACTTAGTGTCTCTGCTCCTCCCCGCAAACCAACACCTCACTCTTCCTCTGCACCCACCACACCAGGCAGCATAGCAATCTGGTCTCGACTTTTGAGGCGCCTCAAAACTCGACCCAGTGGTTTCGTTTCTGTGAAGCACCCATCTCATCATTCCGCGCTCTGCTCTTTGCTCCTCTCCTCTCCCCAACGGCAGGCAGCGTACACATTTGACGCGGGGCCCAACGCGGTCATGTTTGTGGAGCGCCACAACGCCACGCACTTCCTCTCCGCCTTCCTGCAACGCTTTCCCCCACCACCCCAGCATCCCACTCTCCAGGTATTCCTTCCCCCCACCCATCCCCGCCTCTATGATTTCTACGTAATCACCACTTCGCTCCGTGCACCACCACTCCCCACTCCGACTTCCTATCCCCCACCTGGCACCACCACCCTCTACAACTATCCCCTCTTCACCTGATCGTGTATCTCCACTTGCCCCATCCTCGTTTATCCCCATCCTCTTGTCTATTCATCCCAGGAACCATGTCCCATCCATCTCACACCCCTCGTCCCGCCCATCCACCTCACACCCCTCCTCGTCCCACCAACCCTCACTGACTCTCTCCCTGTGTGCAGCTATCTCACCGGCGACACCTCTCTTGTCTCCGTGGAAGCGCTTCCCCACGCACAACCACCACCACAACCATCACCATCAGAAGCAAGCACGGCATCAGGCGGCTTCTCCCCACCCCTCAAGTACATTCTGCTCACCCGCCCAGGCCCCGGCCCCCACATTGTATCACGCTCACTTGAGGGCTCTTGGGTCAACCCTTCCACTGGGTTCCCACTTTAGAGCGAAGGGTGTGTATCTTAGGGTACATTCCTGGTGAGAGGCGTCACACAAGCAGTGTGTCGCTGCG